CTAGACATTTTGCAGCACGATAGCCAGCTCAGAAGCACTAGCAAAGCTCTGCGGCGTCTTGCAGTTAGCCAGCCGCTTGCAATTAAGCAATCCCCCCGTCGCGCCACACGTGCACTGGGAACAACGGTCCCCCGGCTTGGGCATGCCCGCTATTCCTGCCATGTAAAATTTCGGCCCCCAGCTGGGCCCTGCCGCTCCGCAGATGCCGTCTGGGTGGTTGGGAAGAGTGGGCGGGGGGGTAGGGCAGAGCGGGATAGCAGAGCTGGTATGAGCAGCGCACTGGGAGCACCTAGGGCGCTGTGGCTTGGGCATGCCCTCTATTCCTGCCATGTAGAATTTGGGTCCCCAGCTGGGCCCTGCTACCCCGCGTGTACCCTCGGTATGGTCGAGAGTGGGAGTGGGAGGTGGAAGAAGAGGGAAGTAAGGGCACTGCAAGAGCAGAGCAGGTATTACTGCGAGCAGCGGTCCCCCGGCTTGGGCATGCCCTCTATTCCTGCCATGTACCACCTTGGGTCCCCAGCTGGGCCCTGCCGCTCCACAGATTCCCTCTGAATGGTATGGAGGAGGGACGAGCGGGTGGTGGGGTATAGAGGGACACACGAGATGGTAAGAGCAGAGCACTGTGAGCACCGGGGCACTGTGATTCCCCGGCTCGCCCACCGACAGGCCTTTCTCTTGTCCGCCGAACGACACAGGCACAAGGGCATGGCATGGGCATGGGCATGTGGGCTTGTGGGTATGTATGGGTGTGTGGGTGTGGCACCATGGGGAGAGAGTGGTAACCAGGTAACTTACGGATGCCAGAGAACACGCACACGCCCTTGTCCACTGGCAGACCCTTTTTATCCTTGCCGCCTCCGCCTATCTTGGTGATGACACACCTGCCATGGGTCAGAGGGGTACAGAGGGGCACAGAGGGGCACAGAGGGGCACAGAGGGGCGGAATTGAATGAGAGGACAAGGGGACGAGGGGGGGTTGAATTGGGGATGGTGCAGGGGAGGATGTGAGAAGACGTAAAGGGTTGGTGGGGGGTGACTTTTGAGTCGTTGAGTCGTTGAGTCGACTCAAAAGTCACCTCGTTACAATGGCACACGACACTTTCAGAGTCGACTCAAAAGTCACGAGGAGAGGGGGGGGGGGAGGGAGCGCAGGGGAGGATGTGACGAGTGTAAATGGTTGGTGCGGGAAAATTTTAGTGATGCAGGATTCGAGGGCGTCAAGAGGTAATGGTGCAAATCCTCGGACATTTTCCAGTGAGCGGCAGTACTTAAAAGTCACCTCATTGTAGTGATGCAGGATTCGAGGGCGTCAAGAGGTAATGGTGCAGAATGTGTAGCAGAGAGCATGGAGAGAGCAGGAGAGCAGGAGAGCAGGAGAGCAGGAGAGCAGGAGAGCAGGAGAGCAGGAGAGCAGGAGAGCAGGAGAGCAGGAGAGCAGGAGAGCAGGAGAGCAGGAGAGCAGGAGAGCAGGAGAGCAGGAGAGCAGGAGAGCAGGAGAGCAGGAGAGCAGGAGAGCAGGAGAGCAGGAGAGCAGGAGAGCAGGAGAGCAGGAGAGCAGGAGAGCAGGAGAGCAGGAGAGCAGGAGAGCAGGAGAGCAGGAGAGCAGGAGAGCAGGAGAGCAGGAGAGCAGGAGAGCAGGAGAGCAGGAGAGCAGGAGAGCAGGAGAGCAGGAGAGCAGGAGAGCAGGAGAGCAGGAGAGCAGGAGAGCAGGAGAGCAGGAGAGCAGGAGAGCAGGAGAGCAGGAGAGCAGGAGAGCAGGAGAGCAGGAGAGCAGGAGAGCAGGAGAGCAGGAGAGCAGGAGAGCAGGAGAGCAGGAGAGCAGGAGAGCAGGAGAGCAGGAGAGCAGGAGAGCAGGAGAGCAGGAGAGCAGGAGAGCAGGAGAGCAGGAGAGCAGGAGAGCAGGAGAGCAGGAGAGCAGGAGAGCAGGAGAGCAGGAGAGCAGGAGAGCAGGAGAGCAGGAGAGCAGGAGAGCAGGAGAGCAGGAGAGCAGGAGAGCAGGAGAGCAGGAGAGCAGGAGAGCAGGAGAGCAGGAGAGCAGGAGAGCAGGAGAGCAGGAGAGCAGGAGAGCAGGAGAGCAGGAGAGCAGGAGAGCAGGAGAGCAGGAGAGCAGGAGAGCAGGAGAGCAGGAGAGCAGGAGAGCAGGAGAGCAGGAGAGCAGGAGAGCAGGAGAGCAGGAGAGCAGGAGAGCAGGAGAGCAGGAGAGCAGGAGAGCAGGAGAGCAGGAGAGCAGGAGAGCAGGAGAGCAGGAGAGCAGGAGAGCAGGAGAGCAGGAGAGCAGGAGAGCAGGAGAGCAGGAGAGCAGGAGAGCAGGAGAGCAGGAGAGCAGGAGAGCAGGAGAGCGAGGAAAGATAAGGAGGCAGTGTAATGGGGTGGAGATGCGATGCGATGGGGATGACACGTAATGAGGTGGGTCACCATGGGGGATTCGATCTGATCCGATTTGATCCGATCCGATTGCGTACATGTTTTGCTCTTCTGGGCAGCGAAACTTTCCCACGGGCTGCCCGTTGTAGTCGACGTAGCAGGCGGGCAGTGAGGAGCAGGAGCAGACTGCCCGGTTGGGGCCCGGCATTTTCCTCCGGTAGGTGCAATCACACGTCTTGCACAGCGCGTTGCCCTCTATGCCCTTGGTGCCCACCGCGTATGGCGTGCCAGCGTAGCGACAGAAGGAGCCTCCTGGTGGTGTGGATGTGATGGGAGGGGGGATGTGGGGAAGGGATGGGAAGGCAAGGCAGTGAGACGCCTGGAGGGGAGCACTGCCTTCCATGGCCTGCACGCCCTTGGTGCCCACTGCGTATGGCGTGCCGGCAGAGCGACAGAAGGAGCCTCCTGGTGTGTGGTGGAGGATGGGGGGACGGGGAAGGGGATGGCGATGGTGAGGGGGGACATGAAGGGGGGGGGGAGAGGGAATCGATGAGCAAGGGGAAACGGGGAAGACGAAAGGGGGGTAGGGGGACAGCAGGGGAAAAGGGAGAGCCGGAAGGGGAAGGGGGATGGCTAGCGGGGGACGGAGAACGGCCAGCAGGGAAAAGGGGAGAGCAGGCGGGGAAGGAAGGGATTACGCGGAGGCAGGGGGAGAGGCGGGGGGGGGGAAGGGGAGAGCAGGCGGGGAAGACGAGGGCAGCACTTACTGGAGTGGCAGCGGCCGGCGTACTACGTTTCTAAAGGCGCCTCGAGAACAGCACGTACGCGGAGCGAGCGGGAAGGAGCAGGCTAATGGTGGGGTGGGGGAAGGGCTGGGGAGGTGCGTACTGGTGTAGGTGGAGTTGCAGCGGCCGACGTGCTTGGCTTCTAAAGGGAGGGGGACGGCGGAGAGCAAGCGGGAGAAAGGGGAGGGCGGGTAGGGAAGGGGCGGTGGAGGGGATGGGGAAAGGGGAAAGCTAGTGGTGGGGGACGGTGCAGAGGCACGTACTGGTGTAGGTGGAGTTGCAGCGGCCGACGTACTTGGCTTGAGGCGTCGTGGGCACCTGAGTCACCACGCAGCTGCGGGGAGAGACGAGGGAAAGGACGGGGTGGAGAACGAGCAGGGCGTGAGCAAGCGCGCCGAGTTTCTGGGTGGGGTCCTTTGCACCGTACTTGGCTTGAGGCGTGTTTTGAGACGTCTCAAAACATACTTGGCTTGAGGCGTCGTGGGCACCTGAGTCACCACGCAGCTGCGGGGAGACGCGCGGGTAGGAGGGACGGGGAGGAGCAGTGGGGAGAGACGGGGAAGAGGTACGGCGGGGAGAAGAAGCAGGGAGCGAGCAAGCGCGCCGAGTCACTCGCGCCGTGCTTCGCTTGCGCCGCCGTCGGCACCTGAGTCACCACGCAGCTGCGGGGAAAATGCGCGGAGAGAGACGGGCGGAAAGAGACGAGGGGAGTGACGGGGAAGAGGCGCAGGGGGGAAACTTGCAGGAAGTGAGCAAGCGCGCCAAGTCACCCGCGCAAAGGAGGAGCAGGGCAGAACTTAGCGGAACGAAGGGGGGCGACGGGAAACGACGGGGAACGAAGAGGAAGGAAGGGGAAGGAAGCGACGGAGTGGGGCAGTGCGGGAGCGGAACGGAACTGAGCGACGACCCGCCTGCGCTGATCGCGGCGCCGGTTACAGGCGCGCGTTTCACTTGCGCCCAGTCACGCGCACGCACTCACTTCCGCCCATGCGCGCGGCAAAAGGGGTAAACAGGCCGCGCACTCGATTGCGCCAGTCATATGCGCGCACTCACTTGCGCCCAGTCCCGTCACTCACTTGCGCCCGGTCACGCGCGCGCACTCACTTGCGCTTGTTGCCGCGGCAGAAGGGGTATACGGGCCGCCTCGCGCTGTCGAGATAACACGTGGCGCCGTCTGGGAGCGACGCGGACCCGGATGACGCGATGGCCTGGGCGCCTGGGGATGCACGAGGAGCAGGCGGGAAGGGGGCGCGATGGGGGAAGCGGGGCGGTAAAAGGGGAACAACTGAGTCGACTAAAGAGAACTTCAAAGACGCGATGGCGTGGGCACCAGGGCATGCACGAGGAGGCGGGCGAGATGGAGGGGGGCGAAATGGGGGAGAAATGAGATGATGCCGATGCCGATGCCGTGGGGGAAGAAACTTCGAGTGGACTCAAGAGGACCCGGCGACGCGAAGCCATGGGCGCATGGGGATTCACGAGGAGGCGGGCGGAGTAGGAGCGCGATGGTGGGGAAATGGGAAAAAAGGGGGAAAAAGGGGGAGGGAATGGGAAAGTTTTGGGTGGGGGAAAGGGATGGGGGGGAACATTTCCGAAATGAGGGGATTTCGTGCGAGGGCTGGTGACGTTCCGCGCATGCAGCAGGCGCGGGGAGCGGCGGAATTCGTGCGCGAGGCACATGTAGAAGGGAAGGCGCGGGGAGGCGCGCACTTGAGTGAGGGAGGGAAGCGGGGGCGGGGCGGGGTGCGCACCTGTGCGAACGGGGGAAGGCGCGCAACTTAGCGAGCGGCGGACGCGCGCGCACCTGAGCGAGCGGGCGAGAAGCGCACCTGAGAATGCGGCGAGGAGGACTAGAACGGGTAGTAGCCGGGTCATGGCTGCGGTGGGAGGAAGCCGCGCGACGGGAACTGGTCTCGGGGCGCGAGACGAGGCGCGAGGCGGCCTTGCTAGGCGATGACACCCAGTGGGTGCTTGCTGTGGTCGATGCTGGCTCGGCAAACGAGTTGCTTCTAAAGTGGAAAATGCTTATGGTGGAAGCTGTTTTGGGATTTCAGAAGCTTCTTTCTGCTGGACAGATTGCTGGGAGAAATTATTGCGACGTGCTCATGCTGGAGATCGAGAGGTTAGTGATGGACGGGTCGCATGCGGCAGGGTTTCGCGAATGTCGGACGGAATCTTTCATACAACAGAGGATGAGGACTTGAAGTGGACGGGAAACCTATTGTGTGGTTGGAGATTGGGTTGTTGGTTGGGTTGTTGGTTGGGTGGGTTTCTGCAGGGATGGGGTGATCGAACAGATGGGAAAATAGGGCGCTCATACGACGACGGGAAGAAGAGAAAATGTGGGCGCAACGAGGCTAGGCTGACGGATGACGGCGAGATGTGAGAAAAGCAGGGGAAGGTGGACCTGCTTTTCAGTACAGTACAGTAACCCTCAAGTTGATCGCATGTTTGGGCGTCGCGTACAAGGGGTGGTAGGTTGGGCTGGTCATGAAGGGGGGCAGCTGAAATGTCCGACGGCTGGGGTGTGGGGAAGGGAAGGAAATGGTGGTGGATGGAATGGAAACACCCGTTGGAGAGCAGAAACGGCCGCGACAAACACAGTTCGAAGGAGCCCGTTGAAAGGGAAATGCAGCACCAGCAATTTGTGGCCCCAATCCCGTCCGGTCTGATCCGTTTGTCGAATTGGGAAGATTTGGCCCTTCTGTAGAAAGTGAGCGACGGCGAATTCGCTCGCGTTGAGGTTGTTGAGTTCACGTGGTGCTTCAACGACTATCATGAAATTCGCGCCTGCGAAGTGACTGATTGAAATTGTCGCACAAAGCGATTCGGCATGAAATTGTTTCCGCCGTCAGGCCAACAAGGACAACCGTGAGTGCAAGAATTGTCGGTGATTCGCTTTGAAGACTGTTCGGTTGGGAAGAAGTGACTTGTAACCGTCGACAAAAAAAACTTCGCGAGGCAAAAACGTCATTTACAAGGAGACTCGTGTTTGTTAAACATAAAATACTTCTGCAAAATGAGCAAATCATATCGCCTTCAGGTCATTTTTAGTCCAGGCTTCACCACGAAATTGTCAGCATTGTTTCGTAGATAGAAATAAAATATTAGAATTTTATATTTATACTTTCCAATTGCATGACAAGTGCTTGTTCGCACAAAGAAATGCAACAATCAAGTATATTATCTGAAAAGAATCGTTCAGACCTTACAAGATGAAGCTATTACTAAACGTGGGGGTGGTAAGTTTAAGAAGTATTACAGTCTTCTTCTAACGAATCCTTGTTTAGCATCAGGGCATCGCTGCAACACAGCCTTCAGGAAAGTGTCATTTCCTCAGCGGACTGCAATCTCCGAAATGGTACGGTATGTGATGTTTTTTTTGGGGTAGGGAACTCTTTGACCGCTGGAGATTTTTGGGGATTTAGGCAACACCACGAAATCCCGCAATTTCTTGGGCGGTCAGGTGGTTGCCTTCAATGCTTGCTCCGCAGGAGTCCGCTGAGAGGGAGCATGATACGACCAGTACAGTTGCTCCCCAACCCGATCGTGCGAACCGATAGACAGGACCCGTCAGTATCAGTGTTCAGCTCTCGTGAGTTGCAATTAGTTACATTCAAACGGTGGCATGGGAACACAAGGAATGTTGTATTTTCGAAGGGGTGCTAAGAAAACATTAAACTGCACACCCTCAAAAAATTATCGCGTCTCGAGATTTGTTTTGCATCTCCTTTGCCATTGGTCGGCGCGGTTGCTGCCATTGCCAAGGCGTCACCCCAGTGGGATTCCTTTTCGTGCTGGACTCCTCGTCCCTCCTGTGCACCATCCCTCCCTCACTTTCTTCCTCGCTTTCTTCCTTCACACCACGCCCATCCATTCCCCTGCGGCTCCCCTCCGCTGCTCCTCTGCCTCCACTGATATTCAAGAATCTGTTTCTGGCTTGCTTGCCAAGCTGACATGATTTCCAGCTGACGCCCCGTCCCGTCAAACACGTTTATTTCTCAACATAAACCTCGCACTAATTATCCTCCACCAAAGCGCTTCTTAACATAATCGCGTGCGGTTGCATCCGCTTTTCAGCTCTGAGGTCCACGAATTCCCGTGCACTGACGTCCCTTTTGCTTTTTTTAGGGCGCCTCGTTACAAAAGTGACTGATCAAACGACGAGCCTTTGTTTTAGGAACTCGGGTTCGGCGCAAATGACGGCTGCGCCATCTATACACGGTTTTCGGATGAACCGACGGCTTTCAACAATCATTTTGCTTGCAGCCGTCGTTTTTACCGCCGCGCAAATAACGGTTGTTTCGTCACAAGGTATTACATGCTACCATCTTCCGGACTTGGCAATATTATGCTATTTTCCAGAGTTATCGTATTGTTTCTCGCCCCCTCAACTATCTTAGAGGCAGAGTAAGTTCGAGCGTAAAAAGAAATCACATGTCGGTCAAAGGCTGTGGTTGAGGAATCGCAGAAAAGCGTTAAGCTCGGGGTGTCAGATTTGAGCTCCAAGTTCAGATTGAACTGTGATTAAAATTTTAACCCCGCGCTGCAATTCCAAGTTTCTTCAGTATATTTCATACTCTTCTATACGCTCTAAAGAGTTGAAATTATAATATGCCGCGCCCGTTTCAATCCCCGTTCCTCCTGCTTTTCAGAAGAAGCTCTTCCGGGGCTGATAACTCATTTTCTCGTATCCGTTACTAACCGGCCCCATTGCCGAGTCAAATACACTTTCTTCCGTGCTAATATTTTTTTCTTCTTTTTTCCATTGCTCCCACTCCAGCGTACGACCCTTGTTCGGATAGCCCGTGTGTCTATGGCACGTGTAGCTGGGACAATCAGTTCACGTGGTCGTGCTCGTGCTATAGCGGGTACGAGGCCGTCACCGCCTCGTTCAACTTGACAGCTGGAATAACCATTACCGGGCAGTCGTGTGTTGGTAAGTCGTGCAGCTCGGACGGTGACTGTACTGAAACGCGCTCGTGCTATAACGGGTACGAGGCCGTCACCGCCTCGTTCAACTTGACAGCTGGGATAACCATCTCGGGGCAGTCGTGTGTTGGTTAGTCGTGCAGCTCGGACGGTGACTCTACCGAAACGCGCTCGTGCTGTAGCGGGTACACGGCTATCGCCGCGTGGGCGAATGTGGTGGGCGTAACCACATCCGGGCATAATAAAGCCATATCGTAATGCTATAGTAATCGATTTCATGGTAATGCTATATCGCGGATGACCACTCTTAGCTGTGATCTGGTAGGAATTTCGTTTTCTGTTTCGCCCGCCTTACTCCCTCTCACTTCGTCACACCTCGCATGCCTTCCGTCCATGCAACCATTCATGTCTACCCGGGCCATTAAACCACTTATTCCGTCCTCTCCCCTCTCCTCTCTCCTCTCCCCTCTCTCCTCTCTCCCCTTTCTTCTCCCCTCTCCCCTCCCTTCTCTCCTCTCCCCCTAACGCACTCCCTGCTCTTCAGCCAATGCCCTTCCTCCTCTGAGCCTTTCCGTTTCTCACCCCTTTTCCGTCCTCCCTTGCTCTCTGCCTCCCCACCTGTTTCCCCCCATTCCTCTCCCGTTTCCCCCTCTTTCCTCCAGCTTCTGGTTCCTCCCCCTCTTACTACTCCCCCTCCTACTACTCCTCCCCCTCCCCTCCTTCCACCAACACAACCTCCTCCTCCTCCTCTAAGGGCCTCTCAACGGGAGCAGTGATAGGCATAGTGGTGGGGGTGATTCTGCTGCTGTTGCTGCTCGGGGGAGTCGGTCTATTCCTCTGGTTCAGGCACAAGAGCAAGGCCAGTGGGGCGAATAAGCCTGGCCAGGCGTACGGTGGAACTGCGGCAGTAGGGGCTGATCTAGAGGCGAATAAGGGGTATGCAAACCCGTACTATGCGGGTGGTGGGGGGAGCGGAGGCGGGAGTGGAGGGGGGAGTGGAGGGGGGAGCGGGGGGTGGGGCGGAGGGGGAGGGGGGAGCGGGGGGAATGGCATGACGGCTCCAGGGGCAGGGGGATACGGGGGATCAGGAGGGGCTGGAGGGGCAGGGGCGGGAGCGTATGGGGCAGCAACAGGGGGGGCGTATGGGGCAGCAGCAGGGGGGGCGTATGGGGCAGCGGCAGCAGGGCCTCAGGCGGGGATGGGGTCTGGGTCTGGATCCGGGAACGTCATTCACCCCATGTACATGGGAAGTGAGTATGCTTCAACTTCAACCCTCTCTGTGACATGCCCCATGCCCCATGCCCCATGCCCCATGCCCCATGCCCCACGTCCCATGCCCCATGTCCCATGCCCCACGTCCCATGCCCCATGTCCCATGTCCCACGTCCCATGCCCCATGTCCCATGTCCCACGTCCCATGCCCCATGTCCCATGTCCCATGTCCCATGCCCCATGCCCCATGTCCCACGTCCCATGCCCCATGTCCCATGTCCCATGTCCCATGTCCCATGTCCCATGTCCCATGTCCCATGTCCCATGTCCCATGTCCCATGTCCCATGCCCCATGCCCCATGCCCCATGCCCCATGCCCCATGCCCCATGCCCCATGCCCCATGCCCATGTCCCATGCCCCATGCCCCATGCCCCATGCCCCATGCCCCATGCCCCATGTCCCATGTCCCATGCCCCATGCCCCATGCCCCATGCCCCATGCCCCATGCCCCATGCCCCATGCCCCATGCCCCATGCCCCATGCCCCATGCCCCATGCCCCATGCCCCATGCCCCATGCCCCATGCCCCATGCCCCATGCCCCATGCCCCATGCCCCATGCCCCATGCCCCATGCCCCATGCCCCATGCCCCATGCCCCATGCCCCATGTTCCATGCCCCATGTCCCATGCCCCATGCCCCATGTCCCATGCCCCATGCCCCATGCCCCATGCCCCATGCCCCATGCCCCATGCCCCATGCCCCATGCCCCATGCCCCATGCCCCATGCCCCATGCCCCATGCCCCATGCCCCATGCCCCATGCCCCATGCCCCATGCCCCATGCCCCATGCCCCATGCCCCATGCCCCATGCCCCATGCCCCATGCCCCATGCCCCATGCCCCATGCCCCATGCCCCATGCCCCATGCCCCATGCCCCATGCCCCATGCCCCATGCCCCATGCCCCATGTCCCACGCCCCATGCCCCATGCCCCATGCCCCATGTCCCATGTCCCATGCCCCATGTCCCATGCCCCATGTCCCATGCCCCATGTCCCATGCCCCATGTCCCATGTCCCATGTCCCATGTCCCATGTCCCATGTCCCATGTCCCATGTCCCATGCCCCATGCCCCATGTCCCATGCCCCATGCCCCATGCCCCATGCCCCATGCCCCATGCCCCATGCCCCATGCCCCATGCCCCATGCCCCATGCCCCATGTCCCATGTCCCATGCCCCATGTCCCATGTCCCATGCCCCATGCCCCATGTCCCATGTCCCATGTCCCATGTCCCATGTCCCATGTCCCATGTCCCATGTCCCATGTCCCATGTCCCATGTCCCATGTCCCATGTCCCATGCCCCATGCCCCATGCCCCATGCCCCATGCCCCATGTCCCATGTCCCATGCCCCATGTCCCATGTCCCATGCCCCATGCCCCATGTCCCATGTCCCATGTCCCATGTCCCATGTCCCATGTCCCATGTCCCATGTCCCATGTCCCATGTCCCATGTCCCATGCCCCATGCCCCATGCCCCATGCCCCATGCCCCATGCCCCATGCCCCATGCCCCATGCCCCATGCCCCATGCCCCATGCCCCATGTCCCATGTCCCATGCCCCATGTCCCATGTCCCATGCCCCATGCCCCATGTCCCATGTCCCATGTCCCATGTCCCATGTCCCATGTCCCATGTCCCATGTCCCATGTCCCATGTCCCATGTCCCATGTCCCATGTCCCATGTCCCATGCCCCATGCCCCATGCCCCATGTCCCATGTCCCATGCCCCATGCCCCATGTCCCATGCCCCATGTCCCATGTCCCATGTCCCATGTCCCATGTCCCATGTCCCATGTCCCATGTCCCATGTCCCATGTCCCATGTCCCATGTCCCATGTCCCATGTCCCATGTCCCATGCCCCATGCCCCATGCCCCATGTCCCATGTCCCATGTCCCATGTCCCATGTCCCATGTCCCATGTCCCATGTCCCATGTCCCATGTCCCATGTCCCATGCCCCATGCCCCATGCCCCATGCCCCATGCCCCATGCCCCATGCCCCATGTCCCACGTCTCCAAAACTCTAACCATGACTCGAGAACCATGACCCGCACTCCCGCCTCTTGTCCAATCTGCACTCCCGCCTCTTGTCCAATCTGCACTCCCGCCTCTTGTCCAATCTGCACTCCCGCCTCTTGTCCAATCTGCACTCCATGCGGCTATCTGATAAAAGAGATGTTTTGAGACGTCTCAAAATAACCCATGACTCAAGAACCATGACCCGCACTCCCGCCTCTTGTCCAATCTGCACTCCATGCGGCTATCTGCTATCTTTTTTGAGTTGACTCAAAAATACATTCCATGCGGCGATCTGCTTATCTCGAACCATTACTTTGTTGAATCATCACTTTGTTAAGTTGCCTCAGGCGATCCGTCCACTCATATTAACCTTTTCCACGTCACACCTCTGCACGTCCGTCCAGGTGGCATGTACCAGCAGCAGCCACCTCAGCACGCCAACGTGGTACAGCAGCAGCAACCAGCAGCCTTCCAATCACCTCCGTCCGTCTGTCAGCAATTCGCCCTTGCTGACCTGGCGCGGGCCACGGGTGACTGGGCGGAGAGCAACCGCATTGGCAGTGGCAGCTTTGGTGACGTGTACAGGGGCGTCAGTCCCTTGGACCCCAGCGTTGTGTGGGCAGTGAAGCGAGCTCGAGTCCTAACGAAGGACTTTCAAAGAGAGGTGAGCAGCACAGTGCCCAGCAGCACCGCACTGCACCTAGGAGCACCGCACCTGACGTGTACAGGCGCGTTCTTACAAGGACATTCAAAGAGAGGTGAGCGCACTGTACCCAGCAGCACCGCATATGCACCCAGCAGCACCGCACATGGCCTGGAGCCGTGGGTGGGGGAGGGTCTGAAGCATTTGCTACAACATCCGTGTGTCCCCTTTTGAGGTGCCTCAAAAGGCGTCTCAAGACCCTCTTCCACCCACTTTTACACCCACGAATCCCTATCCCATCCTCCCTCGTTTTCCCCAGGTGGCAGCCATGGCAACGAAGCACCACCCCAACCTGGTGCGTCTACTCGGCTACTGCATCGACATGAACCCAGCAGCACCGCACTCCATCAACGGGGACCTGAGCATGGAGCAAATCGTAGTCTACGAGTTCATGCCTCACGGGGATCTGCAGCGCTGGGTGGGGGAGGGGGCGGCACAGCCGCTGGGCTTAGCTGAGCGTCTCTCTGTGCTCATCGGCACGGCGCATGGCTTGGAGTATCTGCACAGCTTTGGCATCGTGCATCGCGACATCAAGCCCGCAAATATCCTCTTGGACAGCAAGTTTGAGGTGAGCACACAAACCCCCTCTGTGCCGGTGGCGCAACGCCTAGCGGTGCTCATCGGGGCGGCCCATGGGATCGAGTATCTCCACAGCTTTGGCATCGTGCATCGCGACATCAAGCCTGCTAATATTAATATCCTACTAGATGACAAGTTTGAGGTGAGCTTGTTCTGAGTGTGCCTTTCGCTGTAAGCACCTCTCCCTGTAAGCACCTCCCCTCACCATTCAATAGAGTATCTAATCTACACAGCTTTGGCATTGACATCAAAGCCGCCAACATCCTCCTCGATGACAAGTTCAAGGTCAGCTCCTCTCGGCTCCTGCCTTCTCTGCGGTCTACTGTAATCATAAGCATCGCTCTGTTAACGGGTTGCATCGCGCACCGCAGCATCAAACCCGCCAACATCCTCCTTGGTGACAAGCTTGAGGTCAGCACCTGCCTTGCTGTTGTTCGAGGCTCCTTTCTCTGTGGTTAGCACCTCTCCCTTTCCCTGGTTGTCGTTTGCATGCAATCCCTTCCTCACCTGTCAACACCTTCAACATCAGGCCAAGGTAGCAGACTTTAGGTTGCTGAGGCAGAATGAGGGCACAATGGTGGGAGACACTCGCATCATGGGCACACCCTTGCTCCACCTTCCCTCCCTCAATCGCCCCACATCCCCTTGCCCTGCCACTCTCACCTCCCACCCTTCACCCCACCAGGCAAAAGTAGCAGACTTCGGGTTGCTGAGGCAGAACGAGGGCACCACGGTGGGAGACACTCGCATCATGGATCGCCCTTTCCTCCCCTTTCCTCCCTTTCCTCCCCTTTCCTCCCTTTCCTCCCCTTTCCTCCCCTTTCCTCCCTCAAATTGCCTCAAAATCCCGTGCCTTGCATGTCCCACCAGGCCAAGGTAGCAGACTTCGGGTTGCTGAGGCAGAACGAGGGCAGGGCGGTGGGAGACACTCGCATCATGGGCACACCCTTGCTCCACCTCCCTTCCCTCGTTTGCCCCACAACCCGCTTCCTGCACCTCCAGGCAAAAGTAGCAGACTTTGGGTTGCTGAGGCAGAACGAGGGCACGACAGTGGGAGACACTCGCATCATGGGCACACCGGGCTATGTGGACCCTGCCTATTTCAAGTCCAACAAGGCCACTCCCATGGCCGATGTGTACAGGTACAGAGTGGTACAGAGCGGTGCAGTGCAGTACAGCGGTGTATTGAGCGGTGCAGTGTGGTGCAAACCGGTATTGTTCAGTGAGGAAGAGTATATGGATTGATGGGCACACCAGGCTATGTGGACCCCGCTTACTTCAAATCCAACAAGGCCACCCCCATGGCCGATATGTACAGGTAAAGAGTGGTGCAGTGCGGTGCCAAGGAGAAATAGAGAGCGGTGTAAAGTGGTATTGTCCTTTGTAAGGGAGTGCATGGGAGTGATAGGCACACCGGGCTATGTGGACCCCGCCTATTTCAAGTCCAACAAGGCAACTCCCATGGCCGATGTGTACAGGTTCAGAGCGGTGCAGTGCGGTGCCGAGCAATACAGAGTGGTCAGGAGCAATAGAGAGCGGTGCAAGCTGGTACTTTCCTGTGCACTTGCGGTGAACGGGAAGGGCAGCAGTTTCGACCTCAGGAAATGATTGGATGGTTTCTGAGTTGACTGAACTACCACTCTCCACTCCTTGCAATACCTCTCCACCTCCCAGCTTTGGCTGACTCATTCTGACCACTGTGTCGGGCCGCCATGCACTTGATTACTGAAGTACCGCTCTCCACTCCTTTCCACACCTTCCTTCCCACCCCTCAGCTTTGGCATCCTCATTCTGACCACAATGTCGGGCCGCAACGCACTTGCGGCGGATGAGCACGGCAACAGCTTCAACGTCAAGAAATGGGTGAGTTGGCAATCTCAGTGATGCGACTTTTGAAGCGCCTAACAAGCCGCAATGCACTTGCGGCGGATGAGCATGGCAACAATTTAACGTCAAGAAATGGGTGAGTTTACTTTTCAACGTCAAGAAATGGGTGAGTTGACCTTCTCAATGTCGGGAAATGGGTGAGTTGACCTTTTCAACATCAAGAAATGGGTGAGTTTACCTTTTCAACGTCAAGAAATGGGTGAGTTGTCCTTTTCAACTTCACGAAATGGGTGAGTTGACCTTTTCAACGTCATGAAATGGGTGAGTTGACTTTTCAACGTCAAGACATGGGTGAGTTGACCTTTTCAACGTCAGGAAATGGGTGAGTTGACCTTTTCAACCTCAGGAAATGGGTGAGTTGACCTTTTAAATGACACGAAATGGGTCGGTTGACCTTTTCAACGTCACGAAACGGGCGAGTTGACCAGCGACATGGGGAAATAAGTGATTTGGCTATTTCAGCATGGGGAGGGGAGGGAAGGGGATGAAAGGTTTCTGCGGCACACCTGGAGATAGTAGGGGTTCTGGATAGCAGAGGATGAAGGGGTTTTGGAGTAATAATGGGATAGCAGCCACCATTCAACCTCTCTGCTATTAGACTTGCTTGTGTTTCTCAACCGCCATGCCAAGCAGCCACCATTCAACCTCTCTGCTTCCTCCAATGCTATGTGCTTAATGGAATGACATCTATATTCCTCCCCCTCATCCCCTTGCCTCCCTCCTCTCCCCCCCACTCTCCCTCCCCTCCCTTCCCCTCTCTCCCCCCCCCCCTCGTGTGAATCCTTCCACATCCAGGCCGAGTCATTAGTTGCGGCTGGCAAAGCGGAGGAACTGAAAGACCCGCGATTAGATGCTCCCGCAGACTTGATTCTGCGGATGGCGCAGCTAGCGTTGCGCTGCACTGCCATGCCGACCGTGACTCGTCCCGACATGATCCAGGTGGTATCTGAGCTCACGGCGCTGAGGAAGGAAATTCTGGGGAAGGTGTCATCCAGGATGGCTGAGAGGATTGATGAAGAGGTGGAGTCCCAGAGAGTTGGAAATTTCGATGCGGAAATAGAGATGGTTGAAAAGCTGGCGTTTCAGGATAGCACCAGTGCAATGAGCATTCGCTGAGGGGGTTGGATTGGGGCAAAATTTATTCGGATATGCGCTCTTTTACGATCATAATTTTACTTTGAGCATTTTCTGCAAAAGCATGTGTATTTGTTAATGTTGGTGTTGATCGATAAGTAAAGAAGTTGTATCTCACAGAATTTGCGAACGCTGCTTGCGGACTGGCACATCGGCCTGTAATGAAGCTTTCTCTTGCAATGCCACCTCGCTGACCGTGATTGGAGGATCTGAGCAAAGTCAACGTGGTCCAAATGGGGAAGTTGTTTGGTGATGAGCGCTGTTTTCATATCAACCATTCAGACGCAATTTACGGCAGTAACGTTTTGGGGTACGAGTCGCATGTATTTTCTCGAGTTCGCTTCGCAGATGTTCGGAACCGCAGGGCGAAATGGAAGTCTAAAATCAGCATTTGCGAGACGCAGGTGATGAAAATTGCCGATTCGCGTGATGTGTGTGACCCCACACACATTTGAGGCCACACTGTCATTGGTGGTTGCAAGCTCTCACACAGCTGGCGACGTCGCGCGCCTCTTCCCTTCAATCAGAAACCGCGTGGACCATGCGTCAACCCTTCCTCAAAGTTGTCAGCCTCCAGGCCACGTCCGCGCACCAATGGATCGTCCTCGCGGAACAAAAAAAAGTGGTCATCAACGTCAGCACCGATAATGCGCGCGATTCGATCAAAGTAAGCCGTCCACACGGAGAGCCAATCGATATGCGCCGTGAAGTGCGCTAGAACGATCGTTCGTGGAATTTCTTTGGGAGGTGCGCATAGACGTTTTCGTTCCTCCGCACCCTTCGCCCGTACAATTATTCCCGCATCGCAGATTGGACCGATTTTTGTTCCCCCTGGAAAAACACTCGGCGCAGAAAGTGCAGCGCCTCATTCAAACTCCCCCTCCCGACCGTCCACCTTTTCCGTTTCCCAGGTAAACCCGCCACACCGCCAGCCAGTCACCGCTGGAGCGAAAACTGGCGACGAATGACTGTCCTCCTCGTCCCCCTCCACACTCACACACCCACACCGTCAGACGAATTGTCCAGCTGCCTGCTTGAATTCGCAATACTTTTCGCCCAGCGCAATGTGATTTTTGTGGGGATTCGGAAGGAAAAGAAAGCGATGGTGAACGGTTGACTCCTTCCCTCTCTGCTCCCCCCACACGCCGGCAGCATCAGTGCGACAAGCATGCGCGACCACTGTACCCCCTCCTGACACCAACGATCACCAACAGAACGAGGCGCACATAATGCTTCCCCGTCACGCGCGTTTTCTCCCACCCTCCCTCGCGCGCGACAGCGAGTGTGGGTAGGTGGAACGGTGGGTGGGGACCGTCCGTCAATCGATCACAGTGTACAGTACAGTGAACAGTCGCACCAACCGATCCTGCCGACGTTCCAGTCGAGTCGAGAGAAACGGTGGGTCGTTTGTTCCCCCTGATTCCTGCACCGGCCATCGCTTTTCAGCACAATTTCACACCGCAATAGACCCGCAGTCCAAAGCACTCGCATAAAGTGCAGACCCCTCCCCCATTCTCGAGGACAACGAAAGCATTGCTTCCAATTTTTCAACTACCAACATTTTCTGCTCGCCCGAATATTCCACCCAGCTAGCTTGCGACGAAGTACTGTAAAGCTCCCTCTAGTTCAGCCGACCCGCCACCTTCAGAATTCTTTTCGTTACTTGATCGTAGTCGTAAGGTCGTCCTACATTTGAAGTTTTATTCTCCCGTAGCTCACGCTGTTCAGTATGGCTTCTCCCAACTTCCGAAGCGCCTCGGTTTCCGCTCCCCAGACCCGCGAGGTCTCCCCTCCGCCTTCTAGGTTCGGCGCACCTTGCGCTCCGCCCTTGCGCCAGAACTCGCTCGACAGTTTCCGCGCCAGGGTCAAGCCGCTCGTGATCGCGCGCCCCGCCACCGCTGACGAGGCGCCTGGCGAGCGCCATCCGCTGGAGATTTGGGAGATTAACTACGACGAGATTTTCCCCAACTCCGCGCGCCTCGCGAAGCAGTTCGCCGAAAAGTCACTCAAGCTGTCCAGCCCGCCCGTGTCCAGCGCCGCATCACCCGCTGCATCATCTGCCGTGCCATCCACCGCACCTTCCGCCGCGACTTGCACTTCCGCTGCGCGGATAGCGCCCCAGCAGCTCACTCCCCGCGATCGCGTTTCTGAGGCGCTCCTCGCGCTGTCCCCCGACGTCGACAACTCCAGTCCGCTATCCGAACTCGCGTCTCCGCTATCTCCCCCCACCATCACCATCCCCGCGCGCGCGGCCGGCGATTTCACCTCACCCCCGTCGTTCCCCCAACTCCGCGCGCGCATGCTCGGTTGCAAGCTCGGCACGCCGTGCGTCGTGGCGCTCGCGCGCACGCCCGGCGATCCCGGCGCGTGGGACGCTGACGACGAGGAGTACGAATCGGAAGAGAGCACTCGGCGGAGGTCCCGCCGCTCCGGTAGCACAGGCGGAAGCCGCCACTGGGTCGGCGAAAAGTCGGGGGCATACGTGGAAGGCGCAAGTTACAAAGAGAGCGCGCGTGGGCCGTCTCCGTTGTCCGGGCGGGTTGCGGCGGGGAGTGGCGCGGGGGGGGCAGGCGGGAGTCCGCAGCGGGCGCAGCACGGCACGGGAAGGGTACTCGTTAAGCGGAGCTCCGATCCCGTTATGAGGAGTCCACGAGAAGTGCCGAACCATGGGTCCAGACTTCAGCAGGTTCGAGATGCCGAGCCTGAGGCTCGGCACCGCCTGGCTCGGACAAGCAGCAGAGGCTCGGAAACGTCTGTGCGCAGTTCTTCCGCCGGCCGCCGGCGGCGGTCGTGCGGACGGTTTGGCGAGTCCGCGAGCGTGGGTTCGGAGAAGGTTCGCATGACAGTGCGATTTTACTCCGACCTCCTCGATCCGTGCGTGATTGGCGCGCTGGCTGCGCCTTGCGCCACTGCCGCGAGCTCCGCGCGGCGGGAGCATAAGTCCCCCATCCGTGGAACCCAGAGCGGGGAAGGGAGGCGCCGCGCGGGCGGAAATAGTGGGGGGAGCAGTGCGCGCGCGGCTGGCGGAACCGTGCAGAGCCCTCTTTGCGGAAGGGGTTCCCGCGGAGGGGGTGTGCGAGGGGGGTTGGCTGCGGCGGCAACCGCGGCTGCTGCTGCGACTGGCCCCTGTCGTGTGGTGTCCCTGTGCTGAAGGCGAAACCGATATCCGCGTTTGAAGTGGCGACCCAGGAGGCCCATCGAAGCAACAGCTGCACTCATCAACATAATTCATTTATTTTTTGAGTTACAGCCATTCTGTGACTCTTGTGACTGACTTTCATTTACCGTAGGACATGCCTGCACATCTTGACCTGTACAGCCTGTGCAGAATACCATTAGGAAGCATTCTTATACGAGTTAGCTGTATAGAGTGCTAACTAGGTGGTAGATTGCCCATTAGATATAGCCATCATTTCTACTACGCTTTCACATGCACCTTCCGAAATGAGCCTTTTTTCACCCCCAAAAAAGGATGTACAAATGTCGTGGGTGGACACTTGATACGACTTTCAGATGGCACAAAAACACTCATTCGCATGCAACGAGACAAACCACTGGCCTACAAGGTTTTTGGCACCCACCCAAGCACATCCAACCCCACTCCACTCTTTACAGATGGCATGAATATACGGCAATAGGTAAACAGAGAGAGTCTCATCTAAATGCCAGTGGCATTGCATCAACTGCTTAATTGTTTGACCACTTGTTTCTCTGCGTCCCTCTACTTGTCAACAATAGACTTGAGTCCGAACGGAGCCACATACGAAACACTGTTGCTGTGCCACACCACAATATCCCTGACAGCACTTCATTAAACGCCTCTGTGGGATTGTACCAGTCCCACCAAAAAATAGTCGGGTCCTTGCACGCTGCTGCACTGTAGCTCTAATCTACTTGTCGACAATAGCTTTCAGTCCAAAAGGAGACACGTACGAGACACTATTACTGTGCCATAATATCCCAGACAGCACTTCATTAAAAGCCTCTGTGGGATTGTACCAGTCCCACCACACGTACTTAGCCGGGTCCTTGCATGCTGTTGCACTATAGCTCTTGCCACCCTCTTTTATTGTCTGCCCGCAGGCTATCAGCTTTCCGCTGGGTGTTTTACCCTCGCAGCAAACCGACGTCTTGTCAATGAACCCACCTGGTGGCGAGTGAAGGGGGAGGGAAGAGGGCAGGGGAGGAATGAGAAAGAATACACACAAACACACACACACACACACACACACACATCCACACCCCACCCCCCTTCCCCCCCCCACACCCGAAACACCCACCCACCCGCTAGAAAAAGGGCTTGCCGTGGAATAGGATGCTCGTTTTCTTAGGTGTGCTTTTGAGTCGACTCAAAAGCGGATGCTCGTTTTCTTAGGTGCCTCAGACACAAGCTCCTGCGGTGGTGGCCTTGACTCGATACACGGTGCTCTGCTTGAAGAGGATGAGGTTGGTGACCCCCTGGTAAGACTCCTGGTGCATGCAACCACATACACCCACCCACCCACCCACCCACCCACCCACCCACCCACCCACCCACCCACCCACCCACCCACCCACCCACCCACCCACCCACCCACCCACCCACCCACCCACCCACCCACCCACCCACCCACCCACCCACCCACCCACCCACCCACCCACCTACCCACCCACCCACCCACCCACCTACCCACCCACCTACCCACCCACCCACCCACCAAGCCACCAAACCCCCACCTGCAGCAGTGCCCTTGACGCGGCTCACGGTGCTCTGCTTGAACAGGACCAGGTTGGTGACCCCCTGGTTACACTCCCGCCGCACGCAACCACATACACCCACCCACCCACCCACCCACCCACCCACCAAACCCCCACCTGCAGCAGTGCCCTTGACGCGGCTCACGGTGCTCTGCTTGAACAGGATGAGGTTGGTGACCCCCTGGTTACACTCCCGCCGCATGCAACCACATACACCCACCCACCCACCCACCTACCCACCCACCCACCCACCCACCTACCCACCCACCCGCCCGCCAAGCCACCAAACCCCCACCTGCAGCAGTGCCCTTGACGCGGCTCACGGTGCTCTGCTTGAACAGGACCAGGTTGGTGACCCCCTCGTTACACTCCCGCCGCATGCAACCACATACACCCACCCACCCACCCACCCACCCACCCACCCACCCACCCACCTACCCACCCACCCACCCACCCACCAAACCCCCACCTGCAGCGGTGGCCTTGACTCGATACACGGTGCTCTGCTTGAACAGGATGAGGTTGGTGACCCCCTGGTTACACTCCCGCCGCATGCAACCACATACACCCACCCACCCACCCACCCACCCACCCACCCACCCACCCACCCACCCACCCACCCACCCACCCACCCACCCACCCACCCACCCACCCACCCACCCACCCACCCACCCACCCACCCACCTACCCACCAAACCCCCACCTGCAGTAGTCCCCTTGACTCGAAACACGGTGCTCTGCTTGAAGAGGATCAGGTTGGTCACGCCCTGCTGCCTCAGCTTATCCAGCTTCACCCGCACGCCCGTGTTGTGCTGGTCGGCTAACTTATTCGCCGCCTCGTCGCACTGCCCTGCTGGTGTCTTCTTGAAGTAACGAACGGCTGGGATGCACCCGAGGGGGGGAACATCAAACACCACAATCTTGGTGCTCTTGGTCATTGCGTTGAGGTCCTGAGAAGAAGGGAATTGGGGGTTGGGGAGAGGTGAGGTGGGCGCACATGCCCTGCAGGAGTCTTCTTGAAGTGGCGAACCCAACAGCCGGGATGCACCCGAGGGGGGGAACGTCGAAGACCACGATCTTGGTGCTCCTGTCATGGCGTTGAGATCCTGGCGAGAGGCAGGGGTGCGAAGGGGGAGAGGCGGGGGTGCGAAGGGGGAGAGGGGGGGTGCGAAGGGGGAGAGGGGGGGTGCGAAGGGGGAGAGGGGGGGTGCGAAGGGGGAGAGGGGGAGTGCGAAGGGGGAGAGGGGGGGTGCGGAGGGGGAGAGGCGGGGGTGCGAAGGAAGGGAGTGTTCTTGAAGTATCGAACAACAGGACAGGGATGCACCCGCAGGGTATTGTAGTGAGGGGGTTTTTGAGACGTCACAAAAACACCCTCACTACAACAGGACAGGGTGCAGTATCGTACAATAACTGCAACGAGGAGGAGTACCTGCTCCATGCCCTGCCCGTCTGACTCCCCGTTGACCCCCGTTGACTTTTACCTTGACTCACCTCCACTGCTTTGACTATCGCCCCTGTCGTAGCAGACAACACCTGCTCCACGCTCTGCCCGTCCGACTGCTGTTGACTACCATTGACTTTCCTTGCCTTTTATTGACCCCCGTTGACTCACGTTGACTCACCTGTACGGCTTTGACTATCGCCCCTGTCGTAGCTGACAACACCTGCTCCACGCTCTGCCCGCCCGACTGCCCAAGAAGTGCCAACACGTAGTCGTTGGTTCCCGCGCTAATCATAATCAGTGATTGGTCGAGCATCTGGGGCGAGTAGAACGGGAAGGGAAAGGGGAGAGTGGGAATGGAAAGGGATAGGGGAGGGTGGGGATGAGCGCCTGGGAACAGGAACAGCCAACACATAGTCGTTGGTTCCCGCGCTGATCATAATCAGTGATTGGTCGAGCATCTGAGAAGGAGGGGGAGAAGGCCGTGCAGGAAGAGGAGACACGGGAGGGAAGAGGACAAGACGTGTGGGATGAAAGAGGGAATCGCCAACACATAGTCGTTGGTTCCCGCGCTGATCATAATCAGTGATTGGTCGAGCATCTGAGAAGGAGGGGGAGAAGGCCGTGCAGGAAGAGGAGACACGGGAGGGAAGAGGACAAGACGTGTGGGATGAAAGAGGGAATCGCCAACACATAGTCGTTGGTTCCCGCGCTGATCATAATCAGTGATTGGTCGAGCATCTGAGAAGGAGGGGGAGAAGGCCGTGCAGGAAGAGGAGACACGGGAGGGAAGAGGACAAGACGTGTGGGATGAAAGAGGGAATCGCCAACACATAGTCGTTGGTTCCCGCGCTGATCATAATCAGTGATTGGTCGAGCATCTGAGAAGGAGGGGGAGAAGGCCGTGCAGGAAGAGGAGACACGGGAGGGAAGAGGACAAGACGTGTGGGATGAAAGAGGGAATCGCCAACACATAGTCGTTGGTTCCCGCGCTGATCATAATCAGTGATTGGTCGAGCATCTGAGAAGGAGGGGGAGAAGGCCGTGCAGGAAGAGGAGACACGGGAGGGAAGAGGACAAGACGTGTGGGATGAAAGAGGGAATCGCCAACACATAGTCGTTGGTTCCCGCGCTGATCATAATCAGTGATTGGTCGAGCATCTGAGAAGGAGGGGGAGAAGGCCGTGCAGGAAGAGGAGACACGGGAGGGAAGAGGACAAGACGTGTGGGATGAAAGAGGGAATCGCCAACACATAGTCGTTGGTTCCCGCGCTGATCATAATCAGTGATTGGTCGAGCATCTGAGAAGGAGGGGGAGAAGGCCGTGCAGGAAGAGGAGACACGGGAGGGAAGAGGACAAGACGTGTGGGATGAAAGAGGGAATCGCCAACACATAGTCGTTGGTTCCCGCGCTGATCATAATCAGTGATTGGTCGAGCATCTGAGAAGGAGGGGGAGAAGGCCGTGCAGGAAGAGGAGACACGGGAGGGAAGAGGACAAGACGTGTGGGATGAAAGAGGGAATCGCCAACACATAGTCGTTGGTTCCCGCGCTGATCATAATCAGTGATTGGTCGAGCATCTGAGAAGGAGGGGGAGAAGGCCGTGCAGGAAGAGGAGACACGGGAGGGAAGAGGACAAGACGTGTGGGATGAAAGAGGGAATCGCCAACACATAGTCGTTGGTTCCCGCGCTGATCATAATCAGTGATTGGTCGAGCATCTGAGAAGGAGGGGGAGAAGGCCGTGCAGGAAGAGGAGACACGGGAGGGAAGAGGACAAGACGTGTGGGATGAAAGAGGGAATCGCCAACACATAGTCGTTGGTTCCCGCGCTGATCATAATCAGTGATTGGTCGAGCATCTGAGAAGGAGGGGGAGAAGGCCGTGCAGGAAGAGGAGACACGGGAGGGAAGAGGACAAGACGTGTGGGATGAAAGAGGGAATCGCCAACACATAGTCGTTGGTTCCCGCGC